CCGTAATTTTGTATCGCGCTGAAAAAAATTATATAAATAACGAAATTGTCGGTTATATGGATTATCGGTTGTATATACTATATATATATACATATATACAAAGAATTGTAAAATATTCGTGAGAAATAATATCATAATTATATTAATATTATAAGTAAATAAGTTACACAGAAGCTTTCCTATGTTCTCAAAAAGAAAAAGAACCATGATACAATGCATTGTATTCGTAATTTGTGCCTCCGGCAAATTAGGCATAAATTTGTTAAAATTCCTAAGAATTAGTTCATAAATATGCACATACATTAACAATAAAATATAAAATTTCACCAGTTCTATTGAAGGCTATTAAATGTGCGAAACTATAGTTACAAAAACTGATCATTAAAATATTGTTTAAGAATTTTAATTAGGCCTAAACTTTACTCATTTGTAGAAATCGTTTAAAAATTAATTAAACATGACAAAATATTTGGGTCTATTCTTTTTAAAATTGTTGTACAAAGATTTAATTTGAAAAATTTCATAAGAGTTTAATTTTTTTTAAATTAAATGTTTGAACAATGTTTAATTTTTATATATATATTTTGTATATTTGATAATGTTTTGCAATTATAGTACCTAATAAAAAAATCAAAGGATAACATCTTAACATAATCATATTTTGAAGTTATTTTAATATTTTAAAGTAACAATAATAAATATTATTGTTTAGTTTAATTAAAATATTACCGGGCAATGTTAATGGTAAAAATTACTTCAAAAATGTTTATTGGGATGGTACTTTATTTTCGTATAGATGTCGCTTCATAGAAATATTTAATTTAAATTATCTTTTAGATAATATTAAGTATTTGTTGTACAAAAAGTATGTATGCAACTCGTTTATAAACTTTTCTGACACTCATTTAATTAAGCACTCGCTCGCAAGCTAACTCGTGCCTAAATTAAATTCGTGACTAAAATGGCGTTTATCAAACTTGATACAAAATAAACTATTAAAACATCCTAAAATACTCTTCAAACTTAAAAAAAAAACCTGAATACATGTTTGTGTATATATATATATATATATATTGTAAAAGTTAAGTATCAGTTAGGTTTCTCATATGCATCAAATCATACAGTACGTTAAGCTAAAACACCAAAGCTCTTGTTGTTTATGTAAAGTATACTGGCTATAAAGTCCATTTTAAGAATTGGCATGCGATATTATATTGCATGGTGCATACAAATAAATGTGCTGTTTGATAAGGATTCGTTGTTTTATGCCACCATTCGGCAAATAAAGTTGTCTGTGTTATTAAATTCGTTTTACTGGTGTTTTATTACCACATGCAACTCTTTTTTTAAACTTTATTTCTTTACTTGACGACGTTTAGTAAGATTTAATCTTGATATTCTTGGAATCAAAAAGCAAAAATATTAAAATTTATACATAACGTTGTTTTCTTAATTAATAGAATTTAAACATTTCTAGATTTGCAATTAAAATAGAAGAAACAAATTGGGTTCCTAAATCAGATAAGATTGTGTTATGGTCTTCTAATTACTTAACGCCCTGCTATCTCGCAGAAAACGCTATATCAAAATCGTGTTAAAAATAAAGTTTTAATTAGGCAGGAGCGAAGTTTGGGAGCGAGTATTTAATGAGCTAGTGTCTAGAAAAGTTTATAAACGAGTTGCATAATATACTTTTTCTACGATGTACACTATCATTAAATGATAAATAAAATATGACATCTATCAGTCCGATCTAACCTCACTTGACGATTGGATGACATTTGACAACTGAAATTAACTGATGCTTACAGCACGTCAATGTGTATTTAAAAGATCACATGTGTTTTATGTTGGAAGTAAAAAAAATTAAAAATTATCACATTTTTAATACTAAATTATGACAATTTTAAGAATAAACTCATTATTCCCGTTGTAAGGCATGATTTAGACCAATCGGGTATAATAATATATAAAATTGGTGAAAAGTGAGGTTAAGAATCTGAAAGATATCAGATGTTATTTATTTAATTTTGTAAATTAATTATCTACTAACTTGAGTAGATAAAGTATAGTATAATTCACTATATACAATCTATGGTGTGTTTAATGAGAAAAACAAAAATAAACAGTCCTCTGCCCAGCAAATTTAATGCTTTTGAGCACAGATAAACTGTTACATGCTCTACTACATAATATGTTGTTAAAAAATTGTAAATTTTGGACAAAATGCTTATAGAAAGTCTGCTTCAAGGTCCAATTTGTGTTCGATCTAATCTCATTGCGGAATCGGCGATTCATTTCTATGGAACAAATTCGGCCGGAAAACAAAGCGACCCGAAAAATGGGCAGATTTTCACACAGCCAGCGGTCGTTTTTATAAACATTCACAAAAAGAGGCATCTGCGGAAGTCCGTTATAACTCCCCGCTAATCTGCGTTATCGCAGGATAAAATCGCGCCTAGATTAAAATCGCAGTCGGCCATTGTGGCCTCCCCGTCATCATGGCCGACTTTGTGTGTTGCAGGGAGTAACGCAGGTGAGGGGTTAAACGACCCCTACGAATTTGCAGCGTCAAACTGCGTGCACGTTCGGATTCGGCGAATCAACTTTCACGTGTGCAGATGTTCTGCCAGTTTGTTTTACACCCCTTTTCCACGATTATATACAATACATAGAAGGGAGAATACAATTACTTAAATGCGTTAGAATTTTAGTCTATTAAATGAGTATTCTAAAATAAAAGGTAGCAGAAACTTAATATATTAAGGTTAATAATTATTATTAAAAGAGAATTGTTCAAATACATACTTAAAAATTTTTTTATTTTGCAATATCATTTTGTTTAATTACGGGAAATAATAGGAGCTGTATATTTAATTTATGTTTTACGCAATCAATGCAAGTTTACTTTTTTTAAAAGTGTTCCAAACCTATTTAAAATAGTCTTAAATGTGTTAAAACTGTCTTATAGGTACATATAGTATATTATGTATATGATAAATATATTATGTATTTTAAGTATCATAAAACTGCTTTAAGAACGTTCCCAAATGTCTTAAAGCTGTTTTAAGAATGTCCTTTTATAAAGCTGCTTTAAATCGTTTTTATAATTGTCCTATAACTATCTATTTTTTAAGACGGTTTTGAAACTGTTTTAAAGCTAAAAACATTATTAAAGCTGTTTTTAAAATTTTTTGAATCTATCCTAAAGCTGTTTTAAAAATGTCCTAAAACTATCTTAAAGCTGTTTTAGGAATATGTTGACACTGTTTACAAGCTTTTTTTAGAATGTCCCAAAACTATCTTAGATATGTTTTAAGGATATCCTAAACATTCTTAATGCTGTTTTTAAAATGCCCTTAATCTGTTGTCTTGTTTTAAGCTGTTTTAAGAATGTCGTAAAACTGTCTTAAAGCTGTTTTAAGAATGTCCTAAAACTATCTTAAAGCTGTTTTAAGAATGTTCTATAACTGTATGAATCCATCTTAAATCTGTTTTAAGAATGTGCTTTAAACCGTTTTTATATTTATATATTATCAAAGCTGTTTTTAAAATGTTTTAAATATATCCCAAAGCTGTTTTAAAAATGTCCTAAAGCAGTTTACAGAAAGTCACTATTAAATCGATTTGAACAAACATCAAATCAATTGTTCTAAAACTATCTTAAAGCTGTTTTAAAAAAGTCCTAAAACATTCTTAAGGCTGTTTTTAAAATGTCCCAAATCTATGTTAAAGGTGTTTTAAGAATGTTCTAAACTGTCTTAAAGAAGTGCTAAAAACATTATCAAAGCTATTCTAAATACTGGTTTTTTGTATATCCCAAAGCTCTTTTAAAAATGTCCTAAAACTATCTTAAAGCCGTTTTTAAAAAATCACTATTTAATGATAACAAACATGTTCTGTTCTAGAACTGTTTGAATCCATCTTAAATCTGTTTTAAGAATGTTTTTTAAACCGTTTTTATAATTGACCTGGATATATTTTTAAGACGGTTTTAAAACTATTTTAAAGCTGTTTTGAAGCTAAAAACATTATCAAAGCTATTTTTAAAATGTTTTGAATCTATCCTAAAGCTGCTTTAAAAATGTCCCAAAACATTCTTAAAACTATTTTAAGAATATTCTGAAATTGTTTACAAGCTGTTTTAAGTATGTCCCAATACTATATTCAATATGTTTTTTTTTCTAAAAATTCTTAATGCTGTTTTTTAAATGTCCCAAATATATCTTAAAGCTGTTTTTAAAATGTCCTTGATCTGTTCTGTCTTGTTTTAAGCTGTTTTAAGAATATCATAAAACTTAAAGGTGTTTTAAAGAAGGCCTAAACATTCTCAAATCTGTTTTTAAAATGTCCTAAATCTATCTTAAAGCTGTTTTAAGAATGTTCTATAAGTGTATGAATCCATCTTAAAGATGTTTTAAGAATGTTTTGAAACTGTTTAAAAGCTGTTTTAAGAATGCCCTAAAACTATCTTAAAGCTGTTTTAAAGAAGTCTTAAAACATTCTTAAAGCTGTTTTTAAAATGTCCCAAATCTATCTTAAAACTGTTTAAAGAATGTTCTAAATTGTCCTAAAGCTGTTTTAAAGAACTGCTAAAAACATTATCATTAAAATGTTTTAAATATATCTCAAAGCTGGTTTAAAAATGTCCTAAATATATCTTAAAGCTGTTTTAAGAATATTCTATAACTGTATGAATTTTTAAAGATGTTTTAGGAATGTTCTGAAACTGTTTTAAAAGCTGTTTTAAGAATTCCCTTAATCTATATTAAAGCTGTTTTTTTTAAGAAGTCCTAAACATTCTTAAAGCTGTTTTTAAAATGTTTCAAATCTATCTTAAATCTGTTTTAAGAGTTTTCTAAAACTGTCTTAAAGCTGTTTTAAAGAAGTGCTTGAAACATTATCAAAGCTGTTTTTAAAATGTTCTAAATATATCCCAAAACTGTTCTAAAAATGTCCTAAAACTATCAAATCATAAAAAAACATTATTCTTGTTTCAGCATCAAGAATGCCATCGGGGCAAGTGTGCAGACCGCACTTCCACGCGCCCCTCCACCCCTGGCTGTCCGACGGCACGAAACCCTTGGCGCACTCGTCGCCGTGGGTGCCCTTCGGGGGCGCGGACCCGGACAAATCGCAGTCGCCCAGCTCGGCGCCCGCCCAGCCGCACAACATCTTCTCCTTCCCTCCGACGCCGCCCAAGGATTCGACGCCCGACTCCGTGGCGCCGAGCGCCGGCGTCGAGTACCAGAGCGCCGTGGCGGCCGCCATGGGCGCCTTCATGCACGAGAACCAGCAGAGCTGCGCCCTCGACGTGAAGCCCAACGCCTCGAGCGGGAACAACAAGCAACGCGAAGGTAGTGACTATGAGAACGGCGCTACGTCGAGCATGTTTAATGGTAACTTTGACGGCTCGTATGGGTCTTCGTATGGCTACGGTATTCACGGGGCGGCCTATTCGCCCCAGAACAAGCAACACGTTGCCGGTCAGGGCGCCCAGTCGCCCAACAAACCCAAAATCAAATCCAGAACCAGTGCCGGTAAGACATTTTTTTTGGGTGACTGACACATTTTTTGGTTAAAAGGGTGGTGGGTCAGTTAACTCTTATGCAACATTTCATCTTTTTAACAAGTATTTTAACAAATTCCCAAAACTTTCTTAAATGTGAGTTCAGAATGTTCTTAAACTGTATGTATACATCTTAAAGCTGTTTTAAGAAAGTTTTGAAACTGTTTAAAAGCTTTTTTAAGAATGTTCTAAAACTGTCTTAAAGCTGTTTTAAAGAAGTGCTTGAAACATTCTTAGAGCTGTTTTAGGAATATTCTGAAACTGTTTACAAGCCGTTTTAAGAATGTCGCAAAACTATCTTAAAGCTGTTCTAAAACTGTCTTAAAGCTGTTTTAACAAAGTGCTAAAACATTCTTAAAGCTGTTTTAGGAATATTCTGAAACTCTTACAAGCTGTTTTAAGAATGTCGCAAAACTATTTTAAAGAATTTTCAAGGAAGTCCTTAATATTCACAATGCTATTTTTTAAATGTCCTAAATCTATCTAAAAGCTGTTTTTAAAATATCCTTAATCTGTTCTAAAACTGTAAGAATCCATCTTAAAGCTGTTTTAAGAATGCTTTAAAACTGTTTTAAAGAAGTGCTAAAACATTATCAAAGCTGTTTTAGGAATATTCTGAAACTGTTTACAAGCTGTTTTAAGAATGTCGCAAAACTATTTTAAAGATTTTTCAAGAAGGTCTTGAACATTCCCATTGGTATTTTTTAAATGTCCTAAATCTATCTTAAAGCTGTTTTTAAAATATCCTTTATCTGTTCTAAAACTGTATGAATCCATCTTAAAGCTGTTTTAAGAATGTTTTGAAACTGTTTAAAAGCGGTTTTAAGAATGTCCTAAAACTATCTTAAAGCTGTTTTTAAAATGTTTTAAATCTGTATTAAACATGTTTTAAGAATGTCCTAAATTTTGTCTAAAATCTGTTTTTAGAATCTTAAAGCTGTTTTAAAAAAGCAATAAACATTCTTAAATCTGTTAGTAAAATGTTCTAAATCTATTCTAAAGCTGTTTAAAATCCAATCCTATCTTAAACTGTGTTGGGAATGTTTAATAGTTTAAGCTTTAGGTACATTAAACCTATTTTAAGAATGTCTTGAAACAGTCCAAGTACTATTTTAAGAATGTTTTAAAACTGGCTTAAACTTATCTAGATAAATTTAAAATAATCGCTGATAATTTTTACTATTGCAATTTTATTTCTTATGAAAACAAAAGGTGACAAAATTTGTTAAAATACTTGGATTTTAGTACAACTGATAAAAATCTTAACAATATAGCACTACTAATAATAAAATGTTATGGTTGGTAATATGGCAAATTTGAACACTTTTGCTATTGTTAAAGCCAATTCTGTAACACATTTTACACTTTGTTGCATCCGAGTTAATGAAATAATTGACGTTAACAGCTAAAGCATTCACTCCAATTTACATTATTTTCGTTATTTCCTTTGTTGTTTTGCTTTATTATTATTTAGTTTTATTTTTTGGTTTCCTTAATTCTATAATTATTTTGTGAAAAATTAATAATTTATGAGGCTAACTGTAAAAATAACAATAACAATAAAATTGTTATGCTAATTCCTTTTATCACTGTAATTAATTACTAATTTTTACTGCGTATATCCGAAATGTATGAAAGAAAATTATATCAGTTTGCTGACTAACGTTTGAGTACCTTAAAATGATAATACATGTAGAACTTATTTTTAACACTTAGTATATTGTTAAGCTTTCATATGATTGGGATATATATTTTTTTTATTTTATTTTTTGTTTTTTTTCTCGCGAAGCAAAAATGTCATTGGGGGCTTTTTCACAAGCGTGTTTTTGCGTGTCAGCACTGTTTTTTTTTTTAATTTTTGTGTCACAAGCAGCACAAAACAAAATGTCGCAACAACCGGCCAGCAGCAACTATCAGGCAACCTCCTCTCAATCTCCGTTGTTGCCATTTTTTCCAGAGGTGTCTTAACATCCGCTTCGCGCCGACGCTATCTCGGACGGACAATTGCAATTAGCGCGCGAATTGCACAGTATCCGCCATTTTATCATTGCTATGCGTGAAGCAAGCTAATTAAAAATTGCAACGAAACCAAAAGTGACTGCGTAATGAGAAGAGAAATACCTCTCTTCTTTTGTTTTCCTGCGGTTTGACCTTCGTGCGACGTCGAGTCGTCAAACGAACGCGTGGGAAATTTCGCTCTATCCATTTATCGGGGGGTGCCGTGCCGATGCTAATTAGCAATGTCGCAGCGCACTCTCTATTGTCTCTCTTGTACCAGCATACTTTGATATTGTTCAGCATTTTTTGTTTTTACACGATCTAATTGAAGTACCCGCGTTCTAGATGCAAAACACTTAAATCAAGTAGACTAACTAAACTAAAAGGGATTTTATGTCAAGATTGTTTTATAAAGGGCAGGGAAAAATACATCTAAAAATTTGACCCAAAAGCTTTTGGCCAAAATTGTTTAAGAAGTTCATAAAACAGTTTTAGAATTCCCCAAAACTGTTTTAAGAATGTTCTAAAACTGTTAAGAATGTCTTGACACTGTTTTAAGAATGTTATAAAGCTGTCTTAAAACTGTTTCAAAAAGGTTCTAAAACTCTCTTAATAACGTCTTAACACTCCCCAAACTGTTTTAAAAAGTCTTTAAACTTTTTTAAGTTTTAGAAATATCAAAACTGCTTAAAACTTAACTTAAGAATACCCCAAAACTGTATTTATAATGTTTTAGGAATATTCGGTTAACAATGTCGATACTGTCCTAAAACTGTTCTTAAACTCCTATATCTGCTTAAAAACAGTCTTAAAAGAATACCCCAAAACTGTCTTTGAATTTTTTTAAGAATGTTTTGTTAAGAATGTCGACCCTGTCCTAAAACTGTTCTAAAAATGTCCTTAAACTCTTTCTTAAAACTGTTTTGGAAATGTCTTAACACTGTCCCTATTTTCTGCCTTAAAAGAGTCTTAAGAATACCCCAAAATTGTCTTTAAAATATTTAAAGAATGTTCCGTTAAGAATGTTCACACGGTCCTAAAACTGTTTTAAAAATGTCGTTAAACTCTCTTAAAACTGTTTCAGAAATGTCCTAACACTGTCCCTATTTCCTGCCTTAAAACTGTATTAAAATGTTTTAAGAATGTTTTGTTAAGAATTTCGACACTGCCCTAAAACTGTTCTAAGAATGTCCTTAAACTCTCTTAAAACTGTTTTAAAAATGAATTATAAATATTTTAAGAATGTTTGAGAAGAATGTCTACACTCTCTTAAGAATATTCCAAAACTGTCTAAAATATTAAAAAGAAATGTTCTGTTAAGAATGTAGACATCCCTAAAAATGTCATTAAACTCTCTTAAAACTATTTTAGAAATGTTCTGCCTTAAAACAGCCCTATAGACAGTTTTGGGTTATTCTTATAAGAATATACCCCAAAAACTGTCATTAAAATGTTTTAAGAATGTCGACACTGTCCTAAAATTGTTCTTAAACTCTTTTAAAACATTTTTAGAAATATTTTTACCCCTTTACTATTTTCCGCCTGAAAAATCTTAATAATACCCCGAAACTGTCTTTAAAATGTTTTAAGAATGTTTTGTTAATATTTTCGACACTGCCCTAAAACTGTTCTAAGAATGTCCTTAAACTCTCTTAAAACTTTTTTTAAAATTGTTTTAAAAGTATTTTAAGAATGTTCGACTAAACATTCTTAAAACATTTTAAAGACAGTTTCGGGGTATTATTAAGATTTTTTAGGCGGAAAATAGGAAAGGGGTTAAAATATTTCTAAAAGAATACCCCAAAACTGTCTTTAAAATGTTTTAAGAATGTTTTGTCAAGAATGTCGACTATGTCCTAAAACTGTTCTAAGAATATTCTTAAACTCTCTTAAAACTGTTTTGGAAATGTTTTAAAAAATGGTTTGTTAAGAATGTCGACACTGCCCTAAAACAGTTTTAAGAATCTCCTTAAATTCTCTTTAAAGTTTACTGCCCTTTTATCTGCCTAAAACATTCTTACCCCAAAACTGTCTTAACTTAAAATGTCTTAAAATTTAAGTGTTAATACTGTTTTTAAAAATGTCTTAAACTGTTTTAAGAATGTCCCAAATTATTTCTAAAAACAACCTAAAATGAAACTGAAATTCTGCTGTTATAAAAATGTCCTAAAATTAGGTTTCATGTCAAGTATCCATCACATACGTTTCGTTTTTCTTTTTAAAAGCACTATAAAAGCAATATACATAAATCGATTTGCCACAATAACAATTTTCAGGTATTTTAAACATAAAACTAGCCCCACTTGAGTTAATTCCAGGTGCTCGATAATTTCAAAGTGAAAAAATAAAAATAGTTAATCCTAAGGGGAAAAATATCGGTACAATGTCACACAGTAATCGGCTTAAGACATTTTTTTCTGTGACCCAAAATTGCATATAAAGTGGTTTTTGCCTTCAACAATGCGGCCACAAATCGGATGTTTGTTGAAATAATTTAAACCGAAAATCTTCTAACCAAATGCTCTAATTTAATTCTCGTTTTGTGCGGTTAAAATATGCTCACGAATTAGGCGCAATGTACTGTGAAATTGATTGGTTTTGGTATTTTAACATTGAACACCAGAGAGGGGAAGCCAAATCGATACACTGAAACTACCCCTGTTTAGTTTAGAAGTTTATATAAACTGTTAAGTCGGGCAATTTTATAAACCATTGAATAACTAGATAAGCCAAGAATCTACTGAGTCTGTCTAAAAACAGACAGTTTTAGAACGTTTTAACAACATTAAGTATTAAGAATGTCACTAAAACTACGATGTGCTGGTACAAAAACGTTGCTTCAATTTACAATATTTTTCCTGCAGCACTTTTTGTCCTGAACTCTGAATACCGGAGTCATACGGAGTACCCTAATGGTGAATGTATATTGCATGTTTTACCAACAAAAAATTAACTGCATGATGCTTTCTATTGATAAGTTTTTCGTGTACGACCTGAATTTTTTTGGCAGTTAAAATTTTTGACTTGTAACGTTCAGATTGTACACGAAAAGTAAATATTTAGTTTAGTGTTTTATCTGAAATCGTTATCTATAAATGTTTTGTGCAAATAGTGGATCTGAAGTAGTCTATCAAGAAATAAAAAAAATATTTTAAGCCTTAATACGTCAATCACCTCTTGATCTTTATTCAGAATTAAATCGATAAAAAATACAATAAAAAATCAAAACAATTTATTAATTAAGACAAATTGATTTCACAGCATGTTAATCACTGCACGTCAAACATAATAATAAGTTAAGGGACATAGAGGCCTAATTACATAAGGATGTCGCCATGAGGGTGCTTTTTTAACATATGTTCTTTCTGTTTTTCTTTATAGAGGGTCGCGAATGCGTGAACTGTGGCGCGACAAGCACGCCCCTATGGAGAAGAGACGGCACTGGACACTATCTCTGCAATGCTTGCGGACTGTACTATAAAATGAACGGACAAAATAGACCTTTAATCAAACCAAAAAGAAGACTGGTAAGTTAACGTTATCTATACCTAGTATTATAAGAGAGGATGCCAAAAATGTTTTAAGAATGTCGACACTGTCCTAAAACTGTTCTAAGAATGTTCTTAAAACTGTTGTCACTTATCTATACTATTATAAGAGAGGGTACCAAGAATATTTTAGTAATATTCTCTGTTCAATGTTGACACTGTCCTAAAACTGTTCTAAGAATATTCTTCACTGTCTCTATACTCTGCTTAAAGAATACCCCAAAACTGCCTTAAAAATGTTAAAGAATATTCTGTTAAGAATGTCGACACTGTCCTGAAAGTGTTCTAAGAATGTTCTTAAAACTGTTTTGGAAATGTCTTAACACTGTCCTAAAACTGTTCTAAGAATATTCTTAACACTGTCTTTATACTCTGCTTAAAGAATACCCCAAAACTGCCAAACTTTTTTTTAAGAATATTCTGTTAAGAATGTCGACCCTCTCCTAAAACTGTTCTAAGAATGTTCTTAAAACTGTTTTGGAAATGTCTTAACACTGTCCCTATTTTCTGCTTAAAGAATACCCCAAAACTGTCTTAAAAAAGTTTAAGAATATTCTGTTAAAAATGTCGACAGCCTTCTAAAACTGTTCTAAGAATGTTCTTAAAACTTTTTTGGAAATGTTCTAACACTGTCCCTATTTTCTGCTTAAAGAATACCCCAAAACTGCCTAAAATTTGTTTAAGAATATTCTGTTAAGAATGTCGACACTCTCCTAAAACTGTTCTAAAAATGTTCTTAAAACTGTTTTGGAAATGTCTTAACACTGTCCCTATTTTCTGCTTAAAGAATACCCCAAAACTGCCTTAAAAATGTTTTAAGAATATTCTGTTAAGAATGTCAACAGTGTCCTGAAACTGTTTTAAGAATGTTCTTAGAACTGTTTAAAAATGTTCTTAAAACTGTTTTAAGAATGTCTTCAAACTCTTTCTAACTGTTCTAAGACATGTCCTGGACTGTCTGGAATCTGTATTAGGACTTGAACTTAATAGGTACTTGAATCATTGCTTTATCGATTGCTGCCGCGGTAAGTCATCCAAATAAAAAATGACACGTTGTTCACCCTCGCTGAAAATAATTTGTTTGTACCCCGCTCGCGAGCGTAACAATTCAGGGACAGGTGTCCCACATTATGTAAATAAAGCCTGTGCACCGTCTTATTATCGGGTTAAATATTTAAAGCGTAAGTAGCACCTTTCAAAAGCCTCTGCAGCCAGCAAGCAGCTATGAGTTATAGATGAGCCGCTGGCTCCAGTAAATTCTTGCGAATTTATTTCCTGCCTTAAATGTATCGAAAGTAGAGTAGAGGCGTTCGACACCTTAAACAACTGTTATTACCCCCATGACTATCTATTTTCTCCACGTAAACACTATAATTTCCTACTTATCGCAGCAATTTTTAATGCGACATCGATAATAAGCCTCATGACTCATCTTCAATCATTAAATCGAACCGTACCCATATTCATTAACCATCACCCATCTCCACAAAGTGTATTCACGCCTCTTAATCAATGGATATTTACGATGTAGCGCTCATAGCGCGATTCTCATCTCCAACTTAATAATCTAGAGGTTGATACTCTTCCAAAAGCTACCGTTTTTAACATATCATATCAAGCAGCGACGATTTTTCTCGACTATTGTCACTTGACGTTCAACAAATGCTCTTAAATATTTTAAATATATTCTGCTCGGTGCTGCAGTAGAGTAGGTGGAACAATCTTGGTAGTCAGCTTGGCGTATTGAGTTACGGTGTGGGTAATGCATTAAGAATAGAAAACACGTTTTATTGCCTTATAGTCGCGATATAATTCCGATTCCAACCATCTCTGGTATGCGTATTTTCAATTAATGATCGACGTAGATAACAAGATACAATTTCATTTCCAAACCGAGAAGGTAATTCACAATAAAATATAGAGGAGTCATCAGCAGGCATTCTTCATCTATTTGAACTTGAAACTGACTGTTTTGAAAACAAAAGACCAATCTTAAAGTATTGAACATTAAGATTGGTTTAAAAAAGATTTAAGAAAGACCTTTTGTTTTCAAAACAGTCTATTTAGTTTAGTTTCAAGTTCAAATGCCTACTGATAAAGGGTCAATGAAATTTGCTATCTATAGAAAGCAGTAATGTCTCTGATTGGTTTATTGCATTCTATGGGGATCATTTTCTATAGAAAGTAAATTTCAAGAAAAACCCACATATGACTGAGTGTTCCGATAGGCAAACAAACGCGAAGATGTATAACTGTTTGTAAAATTGAATTTGCGTTTGCCGGTGTCATAACTCTTGGCGGTTGTGTGCAATTTGGTTTGGAGCGGTCTATAAATTGTTAAACGGGCATGCGAGCACGGTGATGTGTACGAAATTGTTCTGGGAATAAGCAATTTGAAGTCGAGTTGCAGAAAACATTAATTCAGTGTCACTAACTCTCGACTAACAAATGAGATTAGTATGCGTCTGTAATCATCCAGAACTCATTAGCTTATGAAGGGACCCCATTCAGAGACTGCCTCCGAACAGTCGGAAAGTTAATTTTAAAAACGTATTTTGAGTAAGTAGATGTCACAGATAAGAACATGCTACTTGGCATGAACTTACTTCACCATTGTAACGAAAATATAACCCGATAAACATCGCTGATCCAGATAACACAACGACAATACTCCAAGGAAATGTCCATAGAAAAATTATTCAATACATCACACGAGCTATCACAATTCAATTTACCTTAATGAAATGTTTTTTCTTCACATATTAATAAGTTTTTGTCATATAATTGGTATTCTTTAAAAGTAATGAAAAATGCTACTTTCTTTTGTACACTGTATATATATATTCAAATACCTTTCAAAATTCCCATGAACTTAATTAAATAGTTAGTGTATATTTTGTTCTAATAATATAATAATGACACTCCTAAAAACCTTCATAAAATTGCCACTATTGTTATCGTTATAACTACTTAATATAAAAAATATAATTAATAGCATAAATTATCCCACTTCTGATTCATACATTTAATTAAAGCTCGAATCAAATTTTATGTTCGTTAAAATTTTGAAGATTGACAACAATTAGTGGGATTATAACCAGTTGTGCTACCAGCTTTAACTGTATTTTATTAATGTAAAATATTATAAAACAAATTTAAATGTTGGAGCGTGAAAGCTATAAAATATTTTATTATACTTTTTCGTTTTGATAAATCGCTGAATTAAATTTTATTACATCCACTGGCATAATTTTTTAAAACTCCCGTAAAACACCCTTCGGAATTTATCGATTAGATGAATACAGCGAAGTCTTGATAAGCAAAGTTTAACAAAGCAATAAATTATGACAGCTTCAAACAAAGGCGATTTGCATTTCACATTTTAATTTTATTCCACGGAAAAAAAGACGAAACAAGTGGCAAGCAAGCAACAAAGAGGAATAATCACATCAAAACATTAATAATTTTATAAGTAGCCGTGTTTCGACCGTGTGGGGCTTTATAAAATTATAATAAATTGTCACATGCGGTGGTCTATACGCCCAGCTGGGCATTATTCAGCCTGGCCACTCCATTCAAAACATTGAAAATGAATTATAGACACCCGTAAATTTTTACAATAATAAGTGACGACTTTATTGAATGTCTTATTCTATACCTGTGTCAAAATGCCTTAAGCAAGGTAGGTATAGATAATTAACGTGTGAACCCGCCTTAATCACTCTCGCCAAATTCATATCAATACGTGCACATATTCAACAAATTTCAAATTGTTTGTTATCTATTGAAAATTCGATTTGAAGTACTTGAAATTTGGGCAATCATTAAACTGCATAAATATTCAATCTGACAGAAGTGACAATTTGACATTTGTTGAATAATTATGTGAGGTTATGTCAAGTTTCAATTCTAGGGTTCGAACACTCAGTTTTAACCCTATGGGATTCGAACACTCGCTCTACAGGTACTGAAAATCGGATTTTTAATAGAGGATCTATAAAATAGTATATTGGCTGCCGAGGCTGCAGATCTAAGCGAGGCAGTTAATATGATTTTTCCGCCGTATTGTATATATATGGTATACTATTTTCTTTTCAAGCATTTAATATTTCGGTACTAACATTTTAAATGATCGAGTTTGCGACATTTTGTCAGGTTTGACGTTGGACATTTGGATGATTCTACAAAAGTTGGGCAACTTTTGACCTCATTTTGTTTATATAGTCTTTGGAGAAAATTTAACAGTATTTTGTTATGAGAACATAGATAATATAATAAATATACTGTTCCAGACCGGGCCAGTCACTTTTTCAAACAGTTTCTGAAATATCTGTGTTTTCTAAATTTAAATGCAAGAGAAGTGACGAGTATACCAGGGTACTAATTAAATACATAATTTATTGGAAAATATAAGATTTATTGCAACTTTGAGCATATTATACATTAAATATCTTAAAATCAAATAATACCACACATCAGTGGCGGCTGGTGGATTTATATGAGTTTATAATGACATTAAATAAACAAGTTCTGCGCAAGCAGAATTTAAATTGAAGTTTGCGAAAAAAAGATAACCGAAACATCGAACATGGAACTGACGACACGGTACTGATGAATGGGATACAAATTTGAGATTATAATTCGAAATTAAGTATTTTACTGATATTTTTTATTAGTGGATGCTACTTATCAACAAATCACATATAGCTTTATATAAATTCCAATGAAATATATAGGTAAGAAAATAGCTACTCACCACAGTACTGAAATTTTGACTGGAACTATACGTGCATTCATTACAACTTCGCCCCTTGCATTGTTTTCAAGATGACTATCGTACAAAGGGCGGGCTCTGTTGGTAATTTTTTACCAACAGTTGAGTTAAAACGAGGACTTGACGTTTAAACTTCAATATTTCGCAGGAATTTTGAATTTTAACATTGGACACAGAACTGACGGGTAAAAGTGAGTACAAACAT